CTTACTCAGGATGATGGTTCATGGTTAAAGTTTTCGGAAGGCTGTCTTTACATCTCTTATAATGTAACATTAGGAAATAATAAAACTAAAATAATAATAGTTTTTATTTACATTTATTATTACAATAGCAATAGTGTCTACAAATTTAAAATATACAATAATATTAGAGGTGAAGGTTTTTACAACAACTCAATTTTTATACATGATTGAATAGTTTTGTGAAGTTTTTGTCGCTTGGTACGAACAGCACTCAACTTTTAGTCCATAATTTTTTTTCGCGTTCTGAGACACATGGTTAAAAAAAGTTTGAAATTCACAGCAGCCATTTACCATCAGGTGGACTGTGTGCTCGTTTGTCCCCCTATCCTATAAAACAAAATTTAAAATTCTGGATTAATGAAATTAAGAGCAATTAATATATTTGCGAAGTAAATAAATTTTTCTAAAGGCTTTTAATTAATACTGTCATCCATAGGCTGATTTTTTGTTATAAAATAAGGATGACAAACGAGCACAAAGTCCACCTGATGATAAGTGGTTGCTGTGACCCATAGACATCTACATCTATCTTCGATTACGAATCAAAATGCAGATTCGTTGTCACCCATGAGGGCTAACATGGAATGCCTCGTTTCCAGTAAAAGGGTCTTCGGTTTTATCAGTTTCGGTAGGCTTTTGACGAGTAAAATGTAATGTTAATAATTAGTTCTTCTTTTCGTGATAAATTAATCCTTGTTTGCACACTTATCAGCGCAAAAGATTTGAATGGAGGAAGTGCTTTTGTCCATGACCTGAAAGAGTAAAAAGCTCTTACAACGAATATTTTTATAATGGACTAGTTATTTGTGAAAATGCTATAGTCAGAACTAAAATCACAATTAAACTTTAAAAAACTGGAACACTGAAAAAATTTAGACATAATATGTAGTTAACAATTTAATAGACCAACAAAGCATGCTGATAAAATTAAAATGTCATTACTATTTTGGATTTTTTTTTATAGAATAAGGGTGACAAACGAGCACACAGTCCAACTGATGGTAATTGGTTGCTGTGACCCATAGACATCTACATTAATCCTCGATTATGAATCAAAATGCAGATGCGTTGTCACCTGTGAGGACTAAGAAGGAATGCCTCGTTTCCAGTAAAAAGGGTCTCCGGTTCTCTACACTCACTATACAAAACACAGCAGCATTAAACTGCTATTTTACGCAGGTATTCTGTGAGAGCGTGGTCCTTCCTCGGTCGAGCCGATCCATTCGTTTTACAACTATACCAGAAATATAGCTGCAGCATGGCTCTACCACGTATAATTTGTCATGAACACTTTATTTTTCATTTTGTCACACTTATCGTACAATTTATCAAAAAAATGGATTTTCTGAGACAGCAATTTTGATGAAATATGTGTAAATTTTATTTAAAAATTAAATACAATTAAAAACAGCAAAATATGTACAAAATAGCTTGTAATTATTTTTACAAATTATAGCCTAATGTTCTGCCCTGTTCCTGTTTTCTAGGTAACAGAATGCATTTTTCTTTCTTTCTCAAAAATTTTTTCTGCGATTTTTTTTAAATTAATTTTCTTCCCTTGGAAACAAAACATCGCTTTGAATTAAGAAATAACAAGTACCTAACAAAAGCTCATACCTGTACCACAGAACAATCTGCTATTTCATTTAAAAACGGTGTGACTCCTTGTCTCAGCGGTTTCCCAGTAATCATGTAATTGGTTGTTGGTTGATATGAAATAGATTACAAATCTTTGCTTTCAAAAGAGGGTATTTTAGCTCCACATTGTTTAACCATTTATCAGGTTCTGTTAGATTGGAAGGAAACCTGCAAAAAATTAATTAATGAAAGATATCTAATTATTTTAATTTTGATGTTTCTGTGTATCATCATTCTTGTAAACAACATTTCGAAATTTCACGCAAATCGAGCAGAGAGACCATTCGAGAAAACCTTTTCCGTTTGTAATTAAAATAAAATACATTACAATGTATGGCCACCCTAGTCGAAGTTATAATACAAACATGAATCGTTAATTATTAAGCAAATAGCGAAATAAAATTGGAAATACCGAACCAAAATTAACATCTAAACCAAATTACCCATTGGTCTATACAGAAATAACAGCAATTAAATTCGAAATATCACTGAAAATTAGTTTCACATGACGCGCAGTATTTGCATGGTGTTTTGTACTTACGAATGAAATATAATATTACATTCTGGATGCCACTCACTTTTGCAACCGCGCACAATACATTTAATGACCATTTTTCTAGTTTTGCCTCTGCATTATTACAAAATTCAAAAACAAACTTGCGAAATGAACATAAACATCCGCCATGTACAGTAAAAATTATTTGACAAATAGATTTTGGGTTGTCATATAACGGCTTTTAAGAATAAATTTAAAACAGGGGAAATATGTAGGAAGCTAGGCAAATAGTTCATAGTAAATTTTCATTAAGTGTTTAAAAGAAAAAGCAAAAACTTGCGTGAAAATCTTTTTGTCAAGTTTTGTTATCATTTTTTACTTATAATTCTTGCCATACTGACAGTTAAACTTATACTGAAATTCATGATGGCTGTCAATGGGGTAATATCAGTCATCACGCTGGCTATCCTGTAGGGAAAACATGGGTTACTCAAGGTCATTTGATTATTGCTAATGTTGATATTAGGAGTGTGGGTTCCAGTTTGTCTATACTTCCGTGAGTACTACTGATAGCAGGATGACAGGCTGTAGTGTTGCCACAATCTTGGAGTCAATAGATCCTATTTTTGATTTCCATTCTTTTTTTGAATAATAACTGACAAAATAGGGTGACACGCAATCAGTACCTTTAATAGAACATATTTTGCCAATATAGAGCCAACTCCAATACATATTTACGTGATTTTTATATATTCGTTTTATTTCAATATTGATTTTTGATAGTCTGTGGTAGTTTAACTTGGCACATTACTATCGTATGTGGGCGGTACCACCCATCCATGAAGTATTGAAGTACTTCATGGATGGGTGGTACCGCCTACATACGACATCTCTTCGACAGTTTATCTAAAAAAATACGTTCATAGACGTGAGCTGTCAAAATTATCAAGCTAAATTTGTCGTCAATCTAGGTTTTTTCATTATGATTTTTATCTTGGATGCTTGTCTTTTAAGCCATGGTTTCATTTATCTTAGTATCAAGTGATAACAATCCTTCACAATATGTTGATTTGTCACATTTCGCATCTTTTGCGAGAATTTGACCGCAACTTGAGCCAGCAGACAGTTGGCGATAGTATCTCAAGGCGCCTAAGCAGACAGACACTTCATCTTGAGATTGACACTTTTGGAGCACTTGTTTCACCGTTTTCACTAATAGTTCACATGCGCAAACATTTAATACAGAAAATTGCAGCAGGTTTGCATATCAAAATCCACCTCAAACTATTATTTAAACAATAATACAGGAGCAGCAATACGCCGCCGGTTAAGTTTCCGCCAAAACCCAATCTTAGTATTTTACACTTCCATTACAGCTTATAAAAGTCCACTGCCGATCATAGATATCCTCCATGGATTTCCGCTTGGCAAGTTTGTCAAGCCCAATTTTATTATTACTTTGAACTATTATCAGAAACATAATGCTGCTCATTTCCTGTTTCAGTTTTTCTCTGTCATCTCTTACCACAATCAATTCAAGTGTATTTTTTAAGTTGGTCGACTATTACTCGTTAAATTCTTAATTTTACTTAGCTGTGATAGTTTTCACTTTAACTTCATTATATATATTACTATTGGGTATTGGTAATTTTCGCATTTCTAAAAACGGTGGTTTAGTTGGTAGGTTATGCAAAATACCACTTTAAAGCTAAATATTTCGCAAATGGACCCTTGAATTGAAAAGATGATGTTCCACACCCCCAGTGTTTTTGAAAGACCTATCCAACGTTTCCCCACATGATGGAATAGACGGGTAAAAAATCATCCTCCATTTACTTGTATGGGAAGTACCCAAAATAAAATTGTTTTTAAAGATTTTATTTCACAGTTATCTAGGCGTGATTAATATCTATAACTATGCCAAATTACAGATTTGTAGCACCTAGGGTCTCTGGTAAAACTTCGTACGGATGGACGGAAGAACGAACGGACGGACGGACGGACGGACGGCCGGACGGACAGACGGACGGACGGACGGACATGGCTATAAGGGTTCCTTGTTGTGTACCTACAAAACCCTAAAAAAGACTGGTATAGAGCGAGTACGCGCTTATGAACGCCATTGAAGTTCTTTGTCTGCCTGGGTGATAGAACCGCAATATATGTCTGCCATGCAAAACATATATGTCAAATAATATTACAAAAAACATATATAAATTGCAGCTTTATTGAAATAACGTAAATTATAAAGAAAAAATTGCACTTGTCAAGCTGTCTGCCATGCCCTTGCGACCCCCATAATTGTCTGCAATGTTATTTTTTGGTAACTTTTATTGAATATTTCAAGATGTCAAAGCGGCAGACTTATTACTGTCACGTTTTTTGGTCATTTTTTACACCTTTAACACAATACATAACGCTCGCTACACTACTTTTACATAACGCTCAGGTGGAGCGTCTCTATATCGACCGCCGGTCAAATTTCATGTACCTACCTCAGGTATAGGAGATTAACTGTAAAATACGTGAAGCTTATTGAAATACAGTAAGTCTGCCGCTCACTGGCTCTTAAACCACGGTATAGTAAATAATAATTATAAATAGTAAATTTTACACTTAGAGTACATAAAATGTTTATACCGCCATCTGCCGGAAGTCATCTGATCTTTCTGGCATTTTTCAATACTTTTCAGACTTACGACACAGGAGAAAATTTGGTAATAGATTTTCTTTTGCCGCCACAGGATTATCGGATTATTGGTTTTATTTGAACTGTTCATTACATATCAGAGGATCTTAATTTAAAACTTTCACTTTAATCTTTCAGAATCACTAAAATCTGGGGCTGGACCAACGATAGAAAATGGGGCGACTTTACAAGATGGTGGTGTATGGGTGCCTGGGCCGGACGGTCGGCTCATAAGGATCGCAAGTACTGAGGCCGAATTGAACACGACGTCCTGGAAAAAACAGAACTGTATCCCCAACATGGGTAAGCATGTTAAATATTGTAGATCATTAAATCTGCATCCTGTATAATATTTGTTATCGGTAGCACCAATTGATAAAGTTTTTCAATCAATAACTTGGTGACGTTACTGGATTACAGAGGGCGCTTATTACAATAATGCTAAATGTTGTAGAACAATCTACCAGAAATAATGAAATTTAAAAATTATGGGGTAAAAATATTTTTTATACTTTTATATTTTATACTTGCGATAATAAACCAAAATTACATTCATTTTTTGCTACATATCGGGACTTACAATATCTTAATACAAAATCTGGCATATTTTCTTTAAAAATATTTTTTTAATTTAGGATACGAATGCGTCTTGAGCTTTTGTGTGTCACTAAGACTAAATGGCATTATGGCGCAAATCCGAAATATATCCTTTAGGACAAAAAGTAAGAGATGACCATTTTCTTGCTGAAGTCCGGTCTATTACTACTACTTAAATGTTTTTGTTCACCTCCGATCACGTGGTAAATCACTATCAATCCAGAAAGCTTTGATTCTTGATAAAAATAACTGACTCTCCTAACTGCGATGCACTGTGTCAAATATAAATGTTAAACAAACTCCATGTTAAAGAAACTAAAATGAAACCATAACGACGGGTATTACAGATATTTAATGAACTTTTAGAGTTACAATTCTTCATAAGAGTCCATTAGATAAAGAACGATGGGGCTGCACATTTATAAAGATAAAAGCCCCCCCAAAAGGGGAGATAAAAGGACTAAATTTTGACGCCTATCCGTATCAAAAGGTAAACGTAGGGTTAGCCAAAACGTTAAATATTATACGCGTCATTTTAACTCAACTAAATTCCAGCTAAAGGCCTGTTTTTTTGACTGGCTCTTTAAACTATCGCGTTACATCCAAACAAAGACATTTAAATAGTAATAGTATACCTATATATTTAAATCTCTTTGCATCCATATGTCGTGCGACGCCTTTATGATTTACTCGTAGATCTACCATCAGATCTTGACCTTGAGAATTTATATGGGTCCTTTCTAAAAAAAAAACAATCATTGAAGTTGACATACATAAAAATATTCCGATGAGTATTAAAAATCACCCTACCCTTGAAGTCGGTTGATAAAAGAAAATACAGTCGAATTGATAATTTCTCGCTTATAATTAAGGAATGGATGGATTAAGAATGAATATATATCATATCACACACACGTATACTCTTTCTTTCTAGGCACTCATTACCACTACAACATGACACCGGACCTAAAGTGCGAGGACTTGCTACCATGGTTCTCTTTAACAACGGATACGGATCTGGTCGGCACCGGTCTTCAGGTGATAGGAAAGACCCCAGAACAGGAGCCGCAAGCGTGGTTCGAATACGTTCCCAAGGACAGCGCTCGGGTAAGCTTCATGATGATGGTTAAAACAACAGCCTTTATACTAGGAGTGGGGTGATTTATAGTAACTGGATTTCGTTGTATTGAATAAAAGTGACAAACGAGCACACAGACTTGGTAAGTGTGGCTTACAGAGATTTTATATTAATCCTCGATAAAGAATCAAAATGCTGATGCGTGAACGTACCATAGAACTAAGATGGAATATTACGTTTCCAGTAAAAAGGTCTTCGGTAGGCGTATTACGTATCTTGCAAAAGGTTAGCGATAGTGAAATTAGAACAATAATTGTTGACAAATCGCAGATTCCTATTATGTACCAGCGATAACCAAGCCCTAGCTAACTAGCGACCACAAGGCAGCGATGTTGCTAGTTAGCTTTACACGTAATACGCCTACCGATATCTCCACTCATCGAACAAAACACAGCAGCATTGCTAATTATTCTATGGGAGCGTGGTCCTTCCCCAATCGAGCTGATCCATCTTTATGTTACAACTGTAATATGGCTCCAGCATGTCTGTACTAAGTACTAAGTATATTAAATAACCTGTTCTTAAAAGCAACATATCGCAAATGTTGTATAAATGACTATTCCTGTTCTACTAATAACCAATGTTTGAAGACATTATCTAAGATGAAAAGATATCTATGGTGGTAATATATTTGTGGTAAGATTTGCCAGTAAGCATATAGTGAGTTCCACACCAACTGCAACAGAAACCGAACAGATATAACAAGGCCACGTGGCACTGTTTAAATATAGTCTGAATCGAAACTTGTTACAAGATAATACTAAACTATTCACCTGTATCTTGGAACAGTCTACTGGCACTATTATTTCAAAAGTACAGAAATAGGAATAGAATAGAATAGAATGGAATGATTTTTATTTAATATTGATTATTACATAATACTTATTGAAAGTCATTATTTTATTTACCACTGGTTCGGAAAATACCTCTGTTCTGGGAAGAACCAGCAAGAAACCCAGCGGGACTTTTTTAAACATATTTCACTTTACAATAATTTTGTTAATACAATTTTAAATGAATTTCCATACAACCAGCATGGTAGCGATCACCTTATTCCCAGGGGTTATTTTCATTCATGTACTCCTTGATATTATAATAACCCATTTTGTACAGTTTTTCTTTAATAAAACTTTTAAACTTGTTTATTGACAAACTTTGAAGATGTTCTGGGATTTTGTTGTAAAAACGTATACATTGTCCCATAAATGAATTACTAATTCTGTGCAGTCTAGTAACTAGCATTACAAGCTTATGTTTGTTCCTAGTGTTTAAGGTATGAACATCCTTATTCTTATTAAAGCTATTTATGTTTTTATGTGTACATACATCACATTTTCATAAATATATTGCGATGCCAAAGTTAATATGTTAATTTCTTTAAAAAAAATTCTGAGGGACTTTTTACAATTTAGGTGAAGCTGATTTCTAATTTTACCTTGTAATCCATAAGATATCCTACTGTAACCGTTCTGCAAGCATGTAGAGATCTCATCGCTGAGAGGTTTATGGAGCTGAAGAGAGTCACATGTCCTCAACATATAATATGATTTCTCACACAAGCTTTGGTGATAGCTCAACATGCAGCAAAAGTGTAATATAAATTTTAACATGTTCATGACCACGTTCACCAACACGCACTGGAGCAGCGCAGCGGGCAAACAAACACACGGTACACTTGATGGTATATGAATATTGTGGCCCATAGAAATCTACATTTATCCCCGATAAGAGATCAAAATGCAGATGCGTTGTTACCCCTGAGAATTAAGATGGAATGCCTCGTTATCAGTTAAATGGGACCCCGATTCTCGTCGCTTACATACAAAACTCCAGTAGGCAGTATTATGCTGCTATTTCCTGCTGGTATTCCGTGAGTGCGTGGTCCTCAGTCTAGTACTTCATCACCACTTACCTGGTAGGATTGTTGTGAAGCACTTATAATAGGTCTAAGTTCTGCAAGACCCGCCGCAGAAGAACACAAAAACTCTCCGATCACACTCTTAATCTCATGGCTGTTAGACGGGAGATGAAGCTACATTCTTCAACAGATTTAACAGCATACAGGCAACTGAACAGACAGATCTCCAAATGCATGCGGCGGGACTTACGCAAATTCAATACAGCTCGTACTGAAGAAGCGATCGAGCGGAACCGAGGCTCCAAAGTCTTTGCCAGAGATCTGTCTGCCAGAAAGCGCCAACTGTCAAAGCTGAAGACAGAATGTGGCAGCATCGTTTCCGGGGCACCTGAGATTTTGAGTGAGATTGAGAGGTTCTATGGGCAGCTGTACACGTCATCGTTGGAGCCGCACGCAAGTGTGAGTAACGATCCAAGAGCGAGTCTTATCCGACATTATTCCGATGATATCCCGGACGTCAGTCTGAGCGAGATTAGAATGGCTCTCCAGCACCTTAAAAACGGCAAGGCCCCAGGCGAGGATGGAATTACAGCGGAGCTTCTGAAAGCGGGTGGAAAACCGGTACTTGAAGTCCTTCAGAAGCTCTTTAATTCCGTCCTCCATGGTGGCATTACACCGGAGGCGTGGAGCAGAAGTGCGGTGGTGTTATTCTTCAAGAAAGGCGACAACGCTCTCTTGAAGAACTACAGACCGATTTCCCTTCTGAGCCGCGTCTACGTGCTGTTTTCGAGAGTCATTACGAATCGTCTCGCGCGCAGACTTGACGACTTCCAGCCTCCCGAACAAGCCGGTTTCCGAAAAGGCTTTAGCACCATAGACCACATACATACCCTTCGGCAAATTGTACAGAAGTCCGAGGAGTACAATTTGCCACTATGTCTGGCGTATGTGGACTATGAGAAAGCCTTTGATTCCGTCGAAATTTGGGCGGTGCTGCAGTCCCTTCAGCGATGCCAAGTTGACTGTCGGTATATCGAAGTGTTGAAGTGCTTGTACAGTAGGGCTACGATGGCTATCCGAGTACAGAACCAGAGTACGAAACCTATCCAATTGCAGAAAGGTGTAAGACAGGGTGACGTTATATCCCCGAAACTCTTTACCGCTGCATTGGAAGATGTTTTCAAGCTTCTGGACTGGAAAGGATACGGTATCAACATCAATGGCGAGTACATCACTCACCTTCGATTTGCCGACGATATAGTCCTTATGGCAGAATCGCTGGAGGACCTAAGCACTATGCTCAATGACCTCAATAGTGTTTCCCAACGGATAGGTCTTAAGATGAACATGGACAAAACAAAGATCATGTTTAATGTCCATGTCACACCTATGCCGGTAGTTGTTGGGAACACTAAGCTCGAAGTTGTTGACGAGTATGTTTACCTGGGACAAATAGTCCGACTAGGTAAGTCCAACTTCGACCGAGAGGTCAATCGACGGATTCAACTCGGTTGGGCAGCGTTCGGGAAATTACGGCACATCTTCTCGTCAGGTATACCTCAAAACTTGAAAACGAGACTGTACACCCAGTGCGTGTTGCCAGTGATGACATACGGAACTGAGACGTGGTCCTTCACTGCTGGCCGGATGAGGAAGCTCAAGGTCGCTCAGCGAGCTATGGAGAGGGCTATGCTCGGAGTTTCTCTGCGTGATAAACTCAGAAATGAGGATATCCGCAGTAGAACTAGAGTGACCGACATAGCCCAACGGATTAGTAAGCTGAAGTGGCAATGGGCCGGCCATATAGCTCGAAGAACCGACAACCGATGGGGAAGAAAGGTTCTCGAGTGGCAGCCTCGTACCGGCAGGCGAAGTGTAGGGCATCCCCCCACTAGATGGAGTGACGACCTGGTAAGATATGCAGGAAGTCGATGGATGCAGGTGGCTCAGGACCGTGCTTTGTGGCATTCTTTGGGGGAGGCCTATGTTCAGCAGTGGACTTGTGAAGGGCTGTGATGATGACTTATAATAGGAAAAACATACTAAGTATATCTTTAATCGGCTTGCAAAATGTTACAGATGACGATTCCGCTGGCACCGGAATGCCTTTATGAGAGTGTAGACAAGTATGGTGTGATTTCTTTACACATCTATTATATCGACAATCCCTGGACCATCAGATGCAAGTAAGTTGAGACAGAAACTAAATAAAACACAGTAACTAGTCTAGTCTAGGTTAGATACAAATTCTTAGTATATTTCTCCCATAGTTGTGTTTAGGTTTGAAGAGTAAAGAGCCGGTATATTTATAGGCTGTGAAGCGTTGAACTTTAGTAATTTGAATCCATGGACTGCAGTAGTCGAATAACGTACTATATAAAATTATGTTACTAAATAATACATTTAAAATTAAAAATTTTGTACAACCGACTTCAATATAAATTATTAAAAATAACTCAAAAACCATTGGTCAGACTTTGATCAAATTTTTATGGGACCACATATGAAGCACCAGCTTTCAAATAAAAAAGAATCATCGAAATCGGTTCACCCAGTAAAAAGGAATTAGGTAACACACATAAAAAAAACATAGTCGAAGTGAGTACCAGCTCCTTTTTGAAGTCGGTAGAAATTAGGTTTTTTTTAAACGTGAACATAATGCAATATCAAACTGCTGAACACAATTCTAATCACATTCTTGAAACAATCTAAAGTGCTATACTTAGGATTTGTGTAATAGAAACAAGGTATGTTACGATAAGGCTGATATACGAGTATTCTTGTAGGATAAAAGTCTTTTTAAGTAAAGATAGATAATAAAAAAAAACTAAAGTGCCATATGCTGTTCTACGGATTTACAGATTTCAAATGTTCATGTGGTCTTATATTTTCTAACATACAAGGGTTCCTCACGATGTTTTCCTCTATGTTTACAATTCTTCCTTATTACTAACATTTCTCCGATCTTATGCTATGAGCGTTACTTTTAGTAGGAAAAACCATGTAGGAGGATAAAGTACCACTGAACTTACCGTGTAGTGGCGGTGTTAGAATATCCACTAGTCCATATCATCACGAGAATGTCATAAAAGGCGACAGAGGAAAACAAACCAGGAGATGGGCAGCAGCGTCTTCCTAATAACGACTAAAAATAAAAAAATTGCGGTTGCCAACCCGCTTGCCAAGCGTGGCAGCTATGTCAAATATTCTATCAGGCAAAGTATGAGGCAAGCCTATGTTCACCAGTGGAATTTAATAGGCTGTAACGGTAACGGTAAGTATCACTATTTTAACGTGTATACTGTCACTATAATTACCCTACTATTGTAACTTCTAAAGGTATTCCTTAGCTGTCATAATGCTCGAAATCAGTCAAAAGAACATAATTCAAACACAATATTTTTATAAGTAATTGTTCAATGTTGAAATTACTTCATTTCTTTTCAGAGATGGTGACTCCATCAGGAAACCAGGTGTGGTTGACAGGCTCAAGCTGAACGGTGTCAAATACGCAAGCAAAATCACTGACGGGCTGAAGAACATATTCGGTTGATTGGCTTTATTGAGCGTTATTTAACATTAGAGCTTTCGAAATCTAAATTGTTGTAACTTCAAATCGGGCAACATACTTATTAGGGTCAATCTTTATGTGAATACTTAGCCTTCTATCCCGTTATATTATATAACTTTTTCCCTTTATATTATTATAATAATTTAAAATTTTTGACACCGTATTGCTGTTTTTGAAAGCTTTTTTATCATCTCTATATATAAAAATTAATTACTGTCCATTAGTCTCACAAAAACTCGAAAATGGCTGGACCGATTTCCATAAAATTTTTTGTGTGTGTGTTCGAGCCCACATTCGTACGAGGTGACGCCTGTGTTATCGAAATCCAGAAATTACCCGTGCGAAGCCGGAGCGGATCGATAGTTATGTATAAATGTTAATATCACATTAGCAACGATAATAAAAATATTTTATCTAAAAAGAATAAGAGTGCGCGAATAAATTAAATAAAAGTTCTTTTAACTATTAATTATTCTGTGATAAAAGTAAAAAGATTTTTTGTGATGTGTTTGTATACATGCATTAATAAATTAGGCTTTTGTAATATTATTATTTTTTATTTATATTCGCTTTGTATTTGATATTAATATTTTTTTCTCGTATATTGCCGCGTAGTAGCGGCGTAAGAGAATCCATCACCCCATATTATCCCGTGGGTATCATAAGAGGCGACAGAGAAAAAGCAGCAGATTGACAGCAGCATCTTCCTGATAACTGCAAAAAATAATTGAGAGCTGCAGTTGCTAAATCACCTGTCAAGCGTTGCGGCTCCTTTGAGGCAATTATAATAAGATACGTGAGGCTAATATGGTCACCTTAAGTTTTACCGCCCTATAAAACCAAAACTACGAGGAGACCAAAAAAATATAACGTCGTATACAATCTTAGTTTTTCTCTTAATTTTTCTTATTTATACGTGGTAGAGCCATGCTGCAGCTATATTAATCCTCGGCTCGACCGGGGTAGGACCACGCTCTCACAGAATACCAGCGTAAAATAGTAAATTAAAGCTGCTGTGTTTCGTATGGTGAGTGTAGAGAACCGGAGACCCTTTTTGCTGGAAACGAGGCATTCCATCTTAGTTCTCACGGGTGACAACGCATCTACAATTTCATTCGCAAACGTGGATAAATGTAGATGTCTATGGGCTACAGCAACCACTTACCATCAGTTGGACTGTGTGCTCGTTTGTCGCCCTTATACTATAAAAAAACCATCTATAAACATACATAATATAATAAATCTGTAGAAAAGTCGTGTCTGTAATTCTAATATTTTCTGGAAAAAACAAGTCCAGGTGACTAACTAAAGGGTACTGAAGCCAAATTAGTGGTTTTTAGATTTTTATCTGACTTTGTATTCACGATTGACACCAAAACTACTCAACGGATTTCTGTAGATAATTTCGGTCTGTGTAGATAGCCTATACAGTAATAATAAATGATAACCTGGGACTTTTTTCGATTACAGAACTAAAAACGGAGGGTTAAATGTTTTCCTTCCTTTATTGATGTATTTAAAAAAATATTTTATTAATAAAGCCTAAAATTAGTTTTAACCATTGCATAATAAATTGAACTACGCCGATAATCTACAAAAAGTAGTAACATTTTGTTCCCGGTTACTAATAAATTAAAAAATATAAATAACTTATATATATATATATATATATATATATATATATATATATGACGACACCTGCACCGTTGTAAATGCGGTGGCGTCGGTCTAGCTAGGCAGAATTCTTGTAAACGACACGTGTACCGCACACCTGCGGCAGTGCACCTGCGTTGCCGCCCGTCTTGCTTGTATAAAACGGACTGAGCGGCCGCCGTTAAGACAGTCTTGGCTCTGACGTGGAACGGTGCGCTTGTCGTATTCCGTTACTAGTTTATCCTCGACTCGTTGGATAATTAATTCGTGTAAACGAATTAATTATTATTCCTAACTACAAAATCAGTCTCTGTACTATACCCACTATACTTCCTACATCAGAAGTGGGATAAAGTCCCCATTTTTGCCCACATACAATCTTCGAATAGTAGGAGGATTATTACATTTGTGAAAGACTATAATGCATTCTGCATTGATGATTCTATTTTTATGTTAAATACCGTAACGAAATTTGCTGTCCTACTTACGATATTGTCGTATCATTAAAGTGTAGAGAAAAGATAAAGTGAAATTATTTAAGCCAAAAGATAAATCCTTTTGTTCGATATGTATTAAAAGTACCCTCGAGTATTTTCATTATTTCTGACGTACCTAAATATGTTAACAAATGAAAAAAATGTCGGAGGCTTTCTAGACGAGTCATCGTTTGCATTGAATGAAAAATTAACTTGTTCAAGTTTTGTTCAATTTGATAGTTCCTGCGAAACATGATTATCATCTGTTATATTTTGAAATTCAAAACGTTTAAGCGATGTACCAAAATAAAGGATTAACTTTAACATGCTAGGAATTGAAAATAATAAGTGACATTTTTTTTGTTCTAATGTGTTGATCAGTGTTGCAGTTTGCTCCGAATACTGTGTGGTCGTCAAGATTGGGGTTTGATGTCGAGAGATTCGTAGAAGTCTCTACAACAATGATCAATGAGGAAGATGTTGTGACGGCTAATCGAACATGGTCAGGTACGGCCGAGCGCTAGTAAGATTGAGCCTACACCGCTACAGTCTGTAACTTATCGGCAGATCTTACGGCAAGGCAATTCAAGCGGCCGCCGAACACATGGTCCTTTGGTGCTGTAAATGAACGTCTGAGTCTTTGTCGGCTTTCGTAGATTTTGCGCAGTTGCCTTCTTCCCTTTGAATTATGTGATGGTATCCGTCTCTACACATAGTTACCGTTTTTTGCAATGTTTTCAAATGTCATACCGTCGCCGTTTGTTAAGAGAATATATGATGAATTTTGGAAGCTCGGAATTCAACGGTTCGCAATACATTTATCTCGATTTCTTTTAATTTTGCAAAGCAGTACGACGATTTGCTAGCGCAAGTACGGTGCGACGGCTCGCTAGCGCGAATGTGGCACGAAAGCAGCAGAACGGAAAGTTGGAGTGCGTTTGCCTGGAGGTAGCCATATCGGCGCGTCCATGACTTAAAAGTCTGGGATGGTCGACCGTTGTAATATTTAACAAGAGTTAATATCTGTTAGCAGGTGATGATAACTGATAGACAGTATGCTGTTCACTGTCAACCGCACGAGGACGTGCGACAGTCAGAGGTAGCCGTGTCTGTGCATCTAGAAAATACTAGAGACGTTGGAACACTCTAACGAAGTAATTATTTTAGTGCATGAAAGGAACATGAAGTTGCAGGGAGGCTGGTCTGTGCTGCACTGGGATATGTGTCGAGTTGCTGTTGGTTTACATACTTAGGTATTACCGTGTCACTACGTCCCTCACGATACACTTTTGTGTAATTGTGACGGGGACATGTTTGCGGTATCGTTGGTCTGTAACTGTTCTATACTGAATTGAAAAAAAAGAGTAAGAAAAAAAATGTGGTTCTTACTATCATTGCAGGGCGTTTGCCGGTCCAATGATATAGCTACAGGGAATAGTGATTCCGGACTAGCATAAATAGTACTGAAAAAAAGAGATTAAGAAAAAGAATAGTTCTTACGATCATTGCAGGGCTTTGTGCCGGTCCAGTGATATAGCTATAGGGAATAGTGATTCCGGACTAGCGAAAACAGTACTTGAAAAAAAAAAGAGAAAATAGAAAAAGCTACAGACTAATCATTCCGATCTAGCATAAAGGTGATAAAAGTTTTGTAGGGCTTACTGCCGGAACAAAACTGATTATCACCCGAGTCTGAAGGGTCAGTACAGACCGGACCAGACGCTGTTTTGTCAGGATAATCGAACGATGTTTTACAGATTACAGTTGTTACAGATAACTAAAATTGTGATGGAGCGCGTGCGAGGACGCACGCATGTCAGTATGGCCATGACGGCACCTGCACCGTTGTAGATGCGGTGGCGTCGGTCTAGCTAGGCAGAATTCTTGTAAACGACACGTGTACCGCACACCTGCGGCATTGCACCTGCGTTGCCGCCCGTCTTGCTTGTATAAAACGGACTAAGCGGCCGCCGTTAAGGCAGTCTTGGCTCTGACGTGGAACGGTGCTTTTGTCGTATTCCGTTACTAGTTTATCCTTGACTCGTTGGATAATTAATTCGTGTAAACGAATTAATTATTATTCCTAACTACAAAATCAGTCTCTGTACTATAACCACTATACTTCCTACATATATATATATATATATATATATATATATATATATATATATATATATATATATATATATATATATAAGCAGTATAATGATTGGCACTTTAAGCGGATTTCTACTTGTAAGTGGTTAATTCTCGTAAATAAACAAATTTATTATATTCTTTATTGTTTTGTTGGATATTAGTTTAGATAGCCATAAATAAAATAACGCATGAGGTTTAAAAAGAAATGTTTAACTAAGTTAAAAATCTAATGAAAGTTTTTTCTAGGGAATGTTACAATCATTGGCACTTTAGCATAGTCAATGGCACTGTAAATTAAGTATAATCATTGGCACCATTGGAAGTCTTAAAAAGTTATACCCAGATCAGAATTAAAAATTATAACAATAAGCTCCATCTTATTGTTATAACACTTATTTTGAACAAATCTTCTTCAAAAATTCTCCTTAGACCTTCATCTGAAAACGGTTTCGTTTGTCTACCATGTTTTTTTCTTTCTTCGTATACATTTTTGATGTGACTTTTTTAGTAAAACCTTTCGTATTTTCTCGATATTTTGTAGAAATAGAACTTTATTTCGGCATTTTAGATTAAACATTTAAAGAGTATTATAATGTCAGAGTTTTTGGCTTCGTTCTTCTTGTTTTGTTTGTCAGTTTGTTTCTATATTTGATTGACTAATTCAATTCTGCATTTTCCATTTGTGCCCCATATTTTCATTATTTTTTTAGCTCCGCTGCTTCCGAATCTTCACTTGTTAGCACAAAATAACGGTGTTGTTTACCTGATTTTTGCTTTTTGATACGTAATTGGCAATGGAAAAAACTGTATGAATATTTTTAGGGCTTTCTAAAAGATTTTAGTTTATTTCGACATCCACCATCACCTATTTACCTCCAACAAATTCTAAATTTGCTGCCTAGTTGATGAAAAACATGAGGGTTAGTTTTCTTTCTGATACTCAACAATAATCTCTGCAGGTTGTATACGCTCTGGTACTGATAAACCATTATTAAGTGAAAGGATACAAGGCAAATTTGATAAAGGTAGGTATTTCTGATTCAGTCGTCGTTATTCTTAAAATATTAGGTAATTCGGCGTAATGGCAAGGAACGGTGATCATCTAAAATGGCTTGCTGTGATTTCGAGGGCATCGGACACTTTGTTTAATCCACTTTGTCTGGACTAAATGGGCACAACCCACATGTATCAAAACCATTTCATAATGTAGATTTATTTCAATACGGTAAAAGTCTTGCTGATATAGGCCCGCATCTCTTTTAGTAACCTTTTTG